CTTTGATCATTGGGCAAGTTGCACCTACTGTTGGAAGCAGACCTAGAGAAGGTTAGTTGGTGGCATGAAGAACATAAAGTCAGATGTGGTAAGAGGGACAGAACAAAATCCAATTGCGTCAAAGTGATCCCTCTCTAGCCAGTCCCTACTAATGTGCAAAATGCCAAATACTTACCTGCTTATAGCATACTTTAATGGACATATGGTGCCGGTATGGAGCAGACAGATGAAGTTGGAGGAGAGCTACAGATTCAGGTCTGGTCTCTGACCTGCACTATGTAATAGAAATATGTAAGGGTATATAGCAGTGTGCAGAGGGTTCATTCGGAATTTTAAATGCAAATGTGGAGATACCCCTTTAGCACCCTATGGGGTAGATTTATTAAAAGTGGTGCACTCAGAATCTGGTGCAGCTGTGCATGGTAGACAATCATTTTCTAACTTTAGCTTGCTCAATTAGGCTTTGGCAATAAAACCTGGAAGCTGATTGGTTTCTATGCAGACTTGCACCAGATTTTGCACTCTTCAGTTTTAGTAAATAACCTTCTATATGTTATGTGTATATGTAAGTTATGAGGTTTGAGCATAGACATCTCATCCATTTCTCCAACATATACCAAAGCCAGCGCTCAGATCTTCATGCTACACAGAAAACACTGAATCAGACACTCGCTGAGGTGCAGCCCTCAATAGATCAGGGAATCTTGATGCTGGCAAAAAAAAGAGAATAAAACAGGGCGCACTCTCCTCGTGCATTACCGTGATGAATAGAAAATGTATAAAAAAATCACAAATGCATACTCAGAAACCGAAGAGGTCATAAAAACAGAAACAAGGAGCCAAAGATGACAGTCATGGACAGCGGAGGTCCTTGGGGGAAATGTGCTAACGCGTTTTGGGAGTCAAACTCCCTTCCTCAGAGCAGATTGGGGAATCCACTAATTGACATTGTCCATTACCAGTGAAGATTCCTGGCTTCAAATAACAAAAGCGTTTCGGCCCTTTGAGGGTCGCATCAAGGGGGTGAGGGGACATTGTAGCCACATACGGATTGTTTCCATCGGTGGTGATGCACATCCACAATATCACCTGCACTTAGGAGTAATTGGAAAGTCTTTGGTGTATATGCACCCAGGGGCGGACTGACAACTCATGGGGCCCCCGGGCAATAGGAGATCATGGGGCCCCTGTGTCCTTGCCCAAACTCAAAAAAGCCTATGAAAAACGTACCAGGGGCATCTCATGGGGCCCCCTACTGCCCCCCGGGCCATCGGGCAGTACCCGAGTTTCCAAATGGTCAGTCCGCCCCTGTATGCACCTTGGACTTGGTTGTTTTAAGTTTTTTTTTTTTTTCATTTTTTTTTTATGTTTACGGACTATTATATGTTCACTTATTTTTTTTTTATGTGTTTGCTCACAAATATACTTTTTGTATGTGTGTTTTTGGCACTATTGTATTTAATTGATCCCACATTTAGGGATCCATTTTATGTCACTATTTACTTTTTGGCTTAACTTAGCCATTATTTGTCACAATCTGCATGATAATGTTGATCCCTGTTAGGGATTCACGTTCTCATTTTCACCATCATTTGCATGAATTTATTGATCCCTATTTAGGGATTCACACTTATTTGTGTTTTATTTTGTGTATGATCCTATTTTGGATAGTGGGGGTATTGGTTCCTGGTTTTTTTATACCTGGTGTGATCACTTTTTCACTTGAGATCCCAGAGAGGATCAATCCACTGATTTATTGGCATGTATATATATTTTATGTCACTTTATATTGAGATCCCCAGAGAGGATCAATCCACTGATTTTTTGTCACATATATATATTTATGTCACTTTGTTTGTTTTTGCCATATTGTATTACTTTATTATTAGGGTAGCGTTGCATCATTTTGGTTTTTGTCAATCCATGGAGGCCCCACCTTGCTCCTTACAGGACTTTGAAGGATCTGCTACTGGAGGCTTAGTTTCAGATACCACAGCATACCTTCAGAGGTTTAGTGTCATCAATGCTCTGATAGGTCAGAGCTGTTTTGGCAGCAAAAGGGGATCTGCTAAATATCAGGTGGGTCATCCTAATGTTTTGGCTGATTGGTATAGTTTGTTCCTTATTTCTGCTGGTGACTTTTGTTGGCCAAAAGTTTAGTTCATGAACTTCACAAATTCTGGGGATTCGCCATGAACCCATGGTAGTGGCAAACCTGAACCTCATCCCTAGACCTACTTGTACCGCACAACTGTCATATTTCAAGTGGTAATAGTATGTATGATAATGTTCAGGGGTGTAAGTGTACATAAGCCCAATCAATAAAATCTCATATAACGTTTTTTTAATGGTCAAATACAGTGCATGCTGATACATCACCGCTGCAGGAAGGTACGGTAATTTACTTATCCCTAGTCCATGAAAGAAACCATAGGACTTTCCCAACACCATTGTTTTTTTGCTTCCAAAGGTATGACATGGCAATAATTATAGAAACAGTTTTCACTATAAATAATCAAAAACCATTTCATTTGAATGCAAAGTACCAGGACATCAAATGACCCTTCTCCAATGAGTGATGGAAATTCCATGAGTTTCAGCAGTCCTGAAGAGACCACGTGAAGAGAACTGGATCCATGTCTGTTGCGCTTGATTTGTTTATTGCGAAGAGAACTTCAGATGTTTTTAAAAAATAGACAATAAAGCCTATGATATCAGTACCTTAAAAAAAGCCACTTCTAAAGTTAGAAGACAAAGCAAAGTTTAAAAAAAAAAGAATGTCAATTGGATGCAAAATACCACGGCATAGCATTACCCTTCTCCATTGTGGGGATGGAAATTCCTCCATTTTCACCAGTCCCAAAGAGACTAGGCAAAGAAAACTGGATCCATGTCTGTTGATTTTTTTTTATTGCCAAGAGAACTTACCATTTTTAAATAATAGACGATAATATGATAGCAGTGCCTTTTAAAAAGGGCACTTCTACAGTTAGAAGAATGGTAGAAGGCAAACCAAAGTTAAAAAAGCATGTCAATTGGATGCAAAATACCAGGGCATTGAATTACCCTTCTCCACTGTGGGATGGAAATTCCACCAGTTTCACCAGGTCCAAAGAGGTGGGGTGAAGAGAACAAGATCCATGTCTGTTGTGCTTGATTTGCTTGTTGTCAAGAGAACTCGAAATACATTAGACAAATCTGGGGAATCTCAACGTCATATAGGATATGGATACACCAGTTAACCCTTAACCCAAAGCAGCTTTCTCATAAATCCTGGTGCAGCTCGTCGTAGCTTAGCGTTTCCTTGGATCATAATGAGGCTGTGTATAGAGGAGTATACCAAAGGGGTTGTATAACAGATATAGTAGATTGCACTTCCCCTAGGAGCCTGCTCTATTATAAGGAACAGAGACAGCACAAAGTACACACAGAACAAGAGCGAGAGTGAAAACACCGTGTAGCCAGCCTGGATGTGGGCTTCCATGCGAACTCCATGACCCGTTCTCATGGTCACATGCATCTTCCTCAAATGTTTTATGAGGGATCGCAGTATAAGATAAGCAGACAGGAGGACACAGAACACAGGTATTGCGTATCCAAACATGACGAGCACGGAACGATAAGTAGTCATGTAAGAAAACCCAGTTTTGTTACAAGGCACAACAGATGTGCTACAAGGACCATTCTCTTCATTGTCACCAATCCAAGCCAAAGGAAGAGCCATTAAAGTACAAAGAAGGACAGAAGCTGTTATGATAAGTCGATAGTAGTTTGTGATATGTTTTTGTGCCCACCTAAGAAGACGAGACTTAAACACGACAATCTTACTGCAATAAAACAAGCATAAAGATGCCGTCAATAAAAGACTGCTGGAGCTGGAGACCATCTTAAGCACATAAATGGTGCTGCTTAAATAAGGGTCACATTGATGTTTGGACAGTTGGCACATCCAGTTGGCAGCAGACCAGATCTGGAGAAGAAGGTTGGTCAGTGCCATGAAGAATATATGAAAGTCAGATGTGGTAAGAGGGACAGAACGAATCCACTCCTGAAGGCTCACTCCCAAGATGAAACCATTTGTTATCACGCCAAAGAAGCAGGCCACCATCTGGGCTGCAGAGATTCCCACTTCCAATGTGCGAGACATGATGATGCCGTAAGAGAGGGGACAGTGACTGAAGGATGGTTATGGATGCAAATATGAATAAGGGTTGGGTTCAACACTACCCAATAGTAAAGGTCATTTACATTCGAAAGGAGGGGCTACTGCTGGATTTATGCTATGTAAAAACTTAGGGAGATCTGTTAAATAATTTTAATTCCACTAATTTCAAAATCCAACAATTTACATAGCTCCAAACTGTGCTTTATTTGGAGGGACTGTCCCTTTTTTTGGAACCAAATCCCGCTGTTCCTCTTCATTTGTCCTTCTCTTTGGTCTAATGCAGTGGTGGGCAACCTTTTTTTCAACTGAGCCAAATCTTGCCAAAACCACGATTGAAATTTATTTTGAGAGCCACATTTTTAAAACTGAAAATACATCCCCCATATAGTAATTCATCCCCCATATAGTAATTTCATCCCCCATATAGTAATTCATCCCCCATAGTAATTCATCCCCATATAGTAATTCATCCCCCATAGTAATTCATCCCCCATAGTAATTCATCCCCCATATAGTAATTCATCCCCCATATAGTAATTCATCCCCCATATAGTAATTCATCCCCCATATAGTAATTCCCCCATATAGTAATTCATCCCCCATATAGTAATTCATCCCCCATATAGTAATTCATCCCCCATATAGTAATTCATCCCCCATATAGTAATTCATCCCCCCATATAGTAATTCCCCCATATAGTAATTCATCCCCCATAGTAATTCATCCCCCATATAGTAATTAATCCCCCCCCCCATATAGTAATTCAATTCCCCCCCTATAGTAATTGTGTCATTCCCCATATTGTGTCAATTCACTTACCTTTGCTCCGCGCGTTCCTCTCGCCGTGTTCCCGCGCCGTTCCGGTCTTCGGGGCGGACTGTGAGAGGAGAGGAGTTCGTCACGCTGCCCCACCTACATCCTGACAGCCAATGTTTGCCACGCTCCGCGGGCCGGATTAAAAGGTCCGCCGGGCCATAGTTTGCCCATTGCTGGGCTAGCTGCAGAGTCCTGACTTTTGGGGCGGCCGCCCGAGAGGAGGGAGGGGAGCGGGCGCCCAGCACACAGAAGAGCCGCATTAAAGTGTGTAAAGAGCCGCATGTGGCTCCATAATAAATACCTTATTTAACTACCCAAAATGTTATACTGCACTAATACTTTTATCCATCTTCTAAACATGTTATTTTGAAAAGCTGATATCAGGAAAAATTAATAGTGAAAAAAGAATTTGTAGGTATTTCCGCAATTTTTTATGGTCTGCATGGCACGGGTATTTCTTTGCCTAAATACCAAAAGTGCTCTTTTCTCCTGTCAAAAAGTTGGAAAGTATAAATTGCAAGAAAAAGCCTTTTCTGTCCAAATGGGACCTTAGAGCAAGACAGCATTTCAGGAGAAGAACCTCATAACAATGGTAGAAATCTTTTGGTTTTAATGTTGCTTTGCTGATTTAGATTCTGGACAGCTTGCATTCATCAAGTCAACAATACATTCTATATCATATCCAAGTGTGTTTTGTGAGAATGTGAGGCTGTCTGTCCAAAAGTTAAAGTTGTGTTAGAAATTGAACATTCAATACAATAATGATCCAAAGCCACCAAAGACTGGCTCAAAATGGAGAAATAGAGGGTTGTGGACTACCCCAGTAAAAGCTTTGATTGTATTTGCATACATTCTGTATCATATCAAAGTGTGTTTGGTGGGAATGTGAGGCTCTCCAAAAGTTGAAGTTGTATCAGAAATGGAACATTCAACACAATAATGATCCAAAGCCACCAAACACTGGCCCAAGATGGAAAAATAGAGGGTTATGGACTAATATTAATATACAGGATTTATGTAGCGCCAAATGTTTGCGCAGTCCTTTACAATATAAAGAGAGACAATATAGCAACAATACAATTCAATACAAGATGGATAGGAAGGCCCTGCTCCTGGGAGCTTGCAATCTTGTCTTCCCTCCAGCCCGGACACCACCCCCCTTTGACTTCATCATGTCCAACAACGCCACCATCAAACCCGCCCCGCAGGCCAGAGTACTTGGTGTCATTTTGGACTCCAACCTATCCTTCCAGCCCCAAGTCCACTCTTTAACAAACTCGTGCAACTCCACCTCCGCAACATCGCCAAATCCGCACGTTCCTAACTCCAGAAACCACTAAACAGCTCATCCACTCCCTCATCAATATCAAGACTCAACTACTGCAACTCCCTCCTCACTGGCCTGCCTCGCCGCTGGCTATCCCCGCTCCAGTCCATCCTGAATAGGCTGCCAGACTCATTCACCTTTCCAACCGCTCCATCTCCGGTCCTCTGCCAATCCCTCCACTGGCTCCCGATTGCGCAACGGATCAAATTCGAAATCCTAACGCTGACGTACAAAGCTGTCCACCATACTGCCCCGAACTACATCACTGACCTAATATCCAAGGCCCAGACGCACACTCCGCTCCTCACAAGACCTCCTTCTCTCTAGTTCCTGGTCTCCTCCTCCCATGCCCGCCTCCAGGACTTCTCCAGGGTGTCACCCATCCTCTGGAACTCCCTGCCCCAACCCATCAGATTATCACCTACTCTCCTCTCCTTTAGGCGCACCCTGAAAACCCATCTCTTCAGGGAAGCCTAAACTTGCCGACCTCCTCCACTCTTCCTACCACTCCATCCCCCACAGCTATCTCCTCCTGTGCCACCATCCCCTCCCTCCTAGATTGTAGCTCGAAAGAGCAGGGCCCTAGATTCCCTCATGTTTTGCATTGTATTGGTAGATGTTCTGTTCCCCTCTGTAATGTACAGCGCTGGATATTGGCAGTATAATAATAATGGATCAATATGGAAGGGCTGGTAGAACAAAAGGTAATGCCTGAGGGATGAACAGATGGGAGAAATAAAAGATTTGGTTATTAGAAAGGCAGGATAGACTTCCATAAATAGATTGTTTTCAGGGATCAGCTAAAAGTGGACAGAGTAGCAGACAGACTGGGGTAGAGAGTTCCAGAAGATGGGAAGGCACTGAAAGTCCTGGACAAGCATGGGAGGAGGAGACAAGGGAGCTAGAGAGCAGGAGGTCTTGGAAGGAGCAGAGAATGAAGTTTGGGTGATATTTGAAGACAATATTGGTGATATAGCTTGAGGTAGATTTGCAAATGGTTTCTTACGTTATTGTTAATGTTTTGAATTGTATTCGTTGGGCAATGGAAAGCCAGTGAAGGATTGGCAGAGAGGGGCGGTGGAGACACTGATTGGTAAGGTGAATGAACCTGGCAGCAGCAGAGGGGATAACCTGCAAAGAGGTAGGTCCACGACTACCCTAGTGACAGCCCTGATTTTATCCTCAACCTTTGTAGGATGATTTTGACATGACAGTTCATGCAAGAAAACCCACAAACATCTTGCAACTGAAGGAATTTTGCATGGAGAAGTCAACATTTTCAATATTGATGTCAGAGACTGATGGGCAGTTGTACAAAATGCCTACGAGAGGTCATTTCTGCTAAAGGTGGAGCAATACCAGCTTATTTTTCCAAGGGGGTGCTTACTTTTTGCATAGTACACCATTACATCTATTGATATTTGTGTTGAATAAAGGGTTAAAAAGACAATTCTCCACACCATGCAGGCAATTCATTTTGTAGTTCAAATGACAGGGAGGGCTAATTAGTCTCCTTGAGACAACAGAGAAATGAGCACTGGGCACACTACTGCTCTGAATTGCTGACCCGATCAATAGGGTTTTTTGTACTTATCTAAGATAGTTACATAGTTGGTAAGGTTGAATAAAGACACCAGTCCAACTAGTTCAACGTGTGTGTGTATGTGTTGATGTCAAAGACTATATCCCATATCCCTGTATACTGTGTTTGCTAAGATGATCTTTTTTTTAAACGATCTATACTTCCTGCTTACACCACCGATTGTGGAAGGGATTCCACATCCTAACTGCTCTGACAGTGAAAAACCCCCTATGCAGTTTCAGGTTAACTGCTTCCTCGCCGTCGTATAGCAGATATACTGCTACACGGTGGCACATGTGCGCAAAATCACGTATATATATATATATGTGATATATTCATGTGATCTTCACTTCCGGGCAGGGGGCGCGTTTGTGTGAGCGCCGCGCCGTACCCACGCCTCCATTCATGGCCGCGGATGTCAATCACTGGGTCCCTGCCGGTGATTACCCGCTGGTGCCCGGTGATTACTGACAATCACCAACGAGGAGGAAGGCTGTTTTGTTTACAGTCTTCCTCCTTGTCAGCTCGGGCACACTGCTCAGGATGGCTGTGCACAGCACAGCCATCCCGATCAGTGTGTTTACAGTGAAGCACACCCCCCCACCCCCCTAGTAAAGCACTCCCTACACACAGTTAACCCTTTGATCGCCCCTCACATTAACCACTTCCTGTCCAGTGTCATTAGTACAGTGTCAGTGCTTTTTTTTTTTTAGCACTGATCACTGTACTGGTGTCACTGGGGATGTCAGTGACACCAAGTTAGTTCCTCCCAGTGTCAGAATGCCCGCTGCAGTCCTGCTAAAAGTTGCTGATCGCTGCCATTACTAGTAGGAAAACAAAAATCCCATTATCTATACCACCATTTGTAAGTGCTATAACTTTCATGCAAACCAATTCATTTACACGTATTGGGATTTTTTTGATCAAATTCATGGAGCAGAATACATTTTGGCCTAAACTTAGGACAAAATTAGATTTTTAAAAATTTTTTGCTGGATATGTTTAATAGCAAATATTGTTTTTTTTTTCTCAAAATAGCCGGTCTTTTTTTGCTTATAGCCCAAAAATTAAAAAACACCAGGCAATCAAATACCACAAAAAGAAAGCTCAATTAGTAGGAAAAAAAGGATGTAAATTTCATCTGGGTGTGGCGTTGCATGACCGCGCAATTGTCAGTTAAAGTAACGCAGCGCCGTAACGCAAAAAATGGCCTGGTCAGGAAGGGGGGGAAATCCTCTGGAGGGCAAGTGGTTAAACTACTTCTCCAATTTCATTCAGTGTCCCTGTGTCTTCTTACACTCCCCGAGACTGAATAGTTTCCTCCCTATGCTAGAATCACCATTAGGATATTTGTATATTGCTATCATATCTCCTCTCAAGCGTCTCTTCTCCAGGGAGAATACGTTTAATGCTTGTAGTCGTTCCTCGTAACTGACAACTCATGGGGCCCCCGGGCAATAGGGGATCATGGGGCCCCTGTGTCCTTGCCCAAACTCATAAAAGCCTATGAAAAAGGTACCAGGGGCATCTCATGGGGCCCCCTACTGACCCCGGGCCCTCGGGCAGTGCCCGAGTTTCCAAATGGTCAGTCCGCCCCTGCTCGTAACTGAGGTCCTCCAGTCCCCTTATTATTATTTGTTGCCCTTCTCTGGACTCTCTTCAGTTCCAGCACATCCTCCTTCCGAGGATTGGTGACCAGAACTGGATAGCATACACTAGATGTGGCCAAACCAAAGTTTTATAAAGTGGCAGGATTATTGTTTGATCTCTGGAGTAATCCCTTTTTTTATACATGCTAATATTCTGCTAGCATTGCATGCCAATGCAGAGCCTGTGATCTACAAAGAATACCAGATCTTTTTCCATCCTGGATTCCCCCAAAGGTTCACCCCCTACTGAGTAACTTGCATTCATATTCTTGGTCTCCAATTGCATCACTTTACATTTTTCAACCTCTTTGCCATGTAGTTGCCACCCCATTATTTTATTGCGGTTTTCCTGCAAGGTTTCCACATCCTGCAGTGAAGTTATTGCCGTACTTAGCTTTGTATCCCCAGAAAACACTGAGATGGAGCCAACCTCTATATCATTTATGAATAAATTAAACAGAATTGGTCCCACAACAGAGCCTTGGGGTACCCCACTTACCACTCCAAACCAATCTGAGTATAAGCTATTTATTACCACTCTTTGGACGCACCCCAGTAACCAGTTTTCCATCCAAGTGCACACCTTGCAGTCCATGTCTTCCAGCCTTAAGAGATATCTAACAAAACTCTTCCAATGGTACATTTAAAACCAAAATGGAGCAAAAAAGGTTCATTGTTAAGGTTTACATACACTTTATTTTTACCTACATATATATAAAATAAGTTGGAATCGTCAATGCTGTCTAAGA